TTCCAGCTCTAGGGTGGCCATGAGAGAGACAGGGATGGAGCAGGAAGTCTAAGGAAACAGAACAGGGCATTTATTTGGAAGTTTTTAATGGAGTCAGAATCAAAGTTCAAACCCAGATTTCCCAGTTCTCAGTGCTGCCTCTACAACTGTGTCTTTCCATTGATTTTTTTGTTCTTTGGGTTTCTGTCCAATACATATTTATTTTGTGCTACTGTGTGCTAGTGACTGTTCTAGTCAGTGGATATCCAGCAGCGCACGAACAGAGGTTGGCTCTCCTCTCATGGAACTTATATTCTAGTGGCAGTGAGACAGATAATAAACAGATAAGGTGGTGAAAAGTACTTCAGAGAAAAATAAAGCTGGGTAGGACAGAAAGAATTCTAGGGCAGGGTTGGAAAGTGAATGAGAGAAGGGAGGTGTTGCTTTTAATGTAGAATAGAAGGGAAGGCCTCTCTGATAAAGTGACATTTGAGCAGAGGATATGCCATGGGAATGCCTGAAGAAAGACTGTGTCACTAGTCAAAGGTGCTGAGGCAAGAACATGCCTGTTGTGTTGGATGAACAGAAAGAAAACCAGTGAGGCTGGAGTGTAGTAAGAGAGGGGAGTGTGGTAGGAAGAAAGATCAAAGTAGTTAAGGGAGTCAAATCACATAGGACTTTTAACCTGTGTAAAGGATTTTCACTTTTCCTTTGATGGAAGGGGAAGGGATTGGTGGGGTTTAAGTAGAGGAGTGGCATATATGACTTATATTTTATAAGAGAGTCATTCTGGAGTAAAATTAGGGGAGAAGGGACAAAGCAGGGTGACTATGGCATTATTGTTGCAGTCATCCGTAGGATTAGCTGATGGATTGGTTATGGAATATAAATGATTTTGATGATTTGAGCCTGAGCAAGAGGAAGAAGGACCTGCCATTTGCTGAGATGAAGACCATGGAAGGAGCAAATTTGGGGTAAGGATGAAGAAAGCAGAAATTCGACTTCAATGACTCTCGGAGTGTTAGAGTTGGAAGAGACTTTGAGTTTATCTAGTACAATTGTTTCCTTTTACCAGCTAGAAATACTAAATACTGAGAGGTTAAATGACTTTCCCAGAGTCAAACAGCCTATACTACTTGTTGTGCAGCATAAAGAGCCCTGGAGTTGTAGTCATGTTCAAATTGTAGCTTTTCTGTTTCTTAGCTCTGAACCTTGGTCAAGTCATTTATTTTCTCCAAGTCTGTTTTTCTTCTATCAAAAAGGATAATAAAGACTTCCATTTCTTGTTACAGTGTTGAAAGTTGCAACAGTTGACATTATTGCTCCCACTCTGGTAGTAAGAAAAGTCAGAGAAGGTACAAAATCATAATTTTTAAAAAACCTATCAGAGTTGACACAAAAAAACTAAAGAAATAAAAATCTGGAAAGTAGTGAGCCCTTCTTCTCAAGAGAAAAAAAAAAGAGAGATAGAGAGATACATAGATACTTTTCATCTATGGTGGAACAGCAAGAGGAAGAATTTGCCATATAAAGCGAAGTCAACTGTTACTGACTGCATGTAGGCTGGAGTGACAATCTGGAATCCTGAGGAGTTCCAGCTACAGTGCAGGACTACACCTACCTGCCAACTTTTCCCCCACGGGCCTTCAATTAGTACATTGGAATAGGAGTTCGGATGCAGGGGCAAGGGAAAGAGAGCTAAGGAGGATCCTGCTGAGGTGGGTGGATTTTGCTGAAGGCTGGGGGCAGGGCAGGAGAGTTAATAGAAATCCCTGTAGTGCACCAGGGGCTTTATGAAGTCTAAGGCTGGGCCTGCAACAGGCTGGGGGCATGGCAAGACAGCTAAGAAATCTCTTTATGACTATCTAGGCTTTTACTGAGGACAAGTCAGCCTTTGAGAAGGCGTAGTCAGGGTAACAGAGCAAAAAGAGATCTCCTCAAGGCACAGAAAACAGAAGGTGCTGCTGGAGACCAAGGACAATACCCTAGCTGAAAGCTGGAATGTGAGGGGAGGGCAGAGAGGAGGGAAGATATCTCACGGTTCGGAAAGCTAGCATAGGTTATGAAGCTCAGAGATGTATGAAGCTTCGACATTGCTCAGATTTTAGCTTCTCCTGAAGGTAAAGTTCTGATTTCGCACTGAAACTATTATAAGCCAATCATGAACTAACACTACAATCTCAAACCCAGCTCAACTATGGATTAAAAGGATTGAGCTGTCACTCCCAGTTTCCCAGCAACTTAATTGAAGAAGGAACTTGCCTTTATGGAGATAAATTAATGTTCTTTTATACACAGTATCTGGCATGAAATAAATTATGAGATAGAGAAAGAAACAAGAAAATGTGATCCATGGTCATGGGAAGAAAGAGGCAACAGAAACAGTCTCAGTGATGGCCCAGACGTTGAACAACATGGATAAACAGAGAAAATTTCAGCAGAAAGATGTAAACTATTTCTCCAAGTGGAAATGCTAGAAATGAAAAATATATTAGAAATGAAGAATTCATTTGATAGGCTTAATAGCAGACTGCACACAGCAGAAGAAAGCACCAGTAAACTTAGGGACGGATCAGTAAAAATCAGCATTCAAGATCTGTGGGACAATACAAAATTGTCTAGCATACATGCAACTAAAGTTCAAGAAGGAGAGGAGGAAGAGCAGGGACAGAAGTCTAAATTGAGGTATATCAGAGTCGACTTTCTGAAAATCAAAAATTTTTATAAAGGAAATTTAAAAGGAGGTAGAAAAGAAAAAATTACATAAAGGTGAACAGTAATATGAATAATTGACACCTTGTCAGAAACAATGCAGGTCAGAGGAAAATGAAATTTTTTTTTTGAGACAGGGTCTCACTCTGTTGCTCAGACTGGAGTGCAGTGGTGTGAACATAGCTCACTATAGCCTTAATGTCCTGGGCTCAAGAAATTCTCCCACCTTAGCCTCCTGGGACTAAGGAGCATGCCACCATGCCCAACTACTTTTTAAATTTTCTGTAGAGACAGTGTCTTACTGTGTTACCCAGGCTGGTCTTAAACTCCTGAGCTAAGTGATCCTCCTGCCTCACCTCCCAAAGTATTGGAATTATAGGTGTGATCTACTGTGCCTGGCCTGGACTAACTTTTTTAAAGTGCTGTATTTTATTTTTTAAGCAAATCTGCTAACCTGGAATTAAATATTCAAAAGTGAAGGAGAAATACAGATATTTTTGAAGGAAGCAAAAACAATTTGTCTACATCAGACCTATACTACAAGCAGTGTTAAAAGAAGTTCTTTAAGTTGAAGGGAAGTTATAATAAAGGAAGTTCAGATCTGAAGGAATGCATTACACCAGGAAGGGTAAATATATGGATTAATATAAGGGACCTTTTAAAATATCTTGCTTTAATACATACATTTATTTAAAAAATATGGACTATTTAAGGCAGAAATAATAACATTATTTGGTATATAGTAGTAGTAGAAGTAAGCTATCCAACAGTAAGTGCACAACAAGCTGGGGAGGTCAAATGAAGTTGGACTTTGATAAGTTAAAGATTCACTCTGCAATCACTAAAGCAAACATTGAAAAAAATACAGAGAGGTGTAGCTATAAGATCAGTGAAGGAAGTAATAAATATCACATTACGAAAAAGTCAGGAAAGCAGAATAGAGGAACAAAGAAGAGAGGCAAATGGAAAATAAATATAAAGATGGCAGACTTAAAAATCATATCAATAATTACATTAAATGTAAAGACCATCATCTCCAATTAAAAGGTAGCAATTGTCAGGCTGGATAAAATAGCATGGTCCAACTATGTGCTGTCTTTATGAATCACTGTAAGTATAAAACACAGATTGAAAAAGGGTGAAAAAGATGTACCATGCAAAAAGCATAAGAAAGTTGATGTTGCTATATTAACAAAGTAGACTTTAAAACAAGGATCATTTCTAGAAAAAAGGATCATTTATCATAATGAATCAATTTATTAAAAATACATAACAGGCCGAGCACAGTGGCTCATGCTTGTAATCTCAGCACTTTGGAAGGCTGAGGGAGGTGGATCACTTGAGCTCAGGAGATCAAGACCAGCCTGGCATACATGGTGAAACCCCATCTCTACTAAAAATGCAAGAATTAACTGGACATGGTGATGCACACCTGTAATCCCAGCTTCTTGGGAGGCTGAGGTGGGAGGATCATTGAGCCTGGGAGGCAGAGGTTGCAGTGAGCCAAGATCATGCCACTGCACTCCAGCTTGGGTGACAGAGCAAGCCTCTGTCTCAAACAAACAAACAAACAAACAAAACAAAACAAAAAAAACTTGTATGTACCTCACAACAAGCTTCAAAATATGTGAAACAAAAATTGATAAAACCAAAGAGAAAAAGAGGCAAAACCACAATCATAGCTGAATATAACACCTCTATCACTAATTGACAGAACTTGTGGAGAAAAAAAAAGTCAGTAAAGATATAAAAGATTTGAACACCACTATCAACCAACTTGATACTTGGCATTTATGAAGCAGTACACATCACTACAGAATTTAAAAAATAGCAAAATGGCAGACGTAAGTCCCTCCTTATCAGTAATTACTATAAGTACAAAGGGATTAAATTTACTAACTAAAATGTAGACACTGGCTGAATGGATAAAAACAAAAACGAGCAAAAAACTTCCCGCATGATCCAATTTTATGTTGTCTACAAGAGATCCTTGTTAGATCAAAAGACAGGTTAAAAGTGAGCTGGGTTGGCTATACTAATATCAGACAAAATAGACTAAGTTATAATAAAAATTGTTACATGAGACAAAGGTGATTATATGTTGATAAAAGGTTAATTCCTACAGGAACCATAATGATTATAAGCACATATGCACCAAACAACAGAGCCACAAATATATGCAGCAAACTGACAAAAATAAAGGGAGAATTTTTTCTTCTTTTTTCTGTTTTTAGAGATGGAGGTCTGTCTATGTTGGCCAGGCTGGTCTTGAACTCCTGGCCTCAAGCAGTCCTCCCACCTTGGCCCTCCAAAGTGCTGGGATTACAGGTGTGAGCCACTGCACCTAGCTGAGAAATGGTTTTATAATAGTAATTGGAGACTGCACAGCTGTCATCATAGCTACCATTTGTTAAGCACTTAGTATATGCCAAGACTATCCTAGGCACTTTACGTTTATAAACTCATTTCATTCACAACAGCCCTTGTGGCAGCTTCAATTATTATCCCGATTTTGCTGAAGAGGAAACTATGGCATAGAAAAGTGGCAGATTCCATTCATATCCTCATTTTGAGGAAGAGGAAACTATGGCATAGAGAAGTTAAATGACGTGCCCAAGGTTTACAAAGGTGTAAGTGGAAGATCTTGGATTATAAGACTCTTTTGGGAAATTAGATTTGATCCTTAGAGGTTTCCTAGTCTCATTTCCCATTGAGGAAGGGATTCCTTTCTCTGACAATCCTGGTTCTTTGGACTCTGCAGGAGCATTGAAGATGGGAGATCACTGCTTCAACAGCAAGACACTCTAGTATGGGCTATTGTAATTGCTAGAAAGTTTTTTTTCCTATGTTGAAGTGAAATCTCACAACTTTGATTCACTAGTCTTTGTAATAACAGAAAATAAGCCCATTGTTCTGACTGTTGAGATATGTGAAGGTTTTCATGTCATTCACCACCAACCCCAACATCAGTTGGAGACTTCAATACCATACTTTCAATAAAAGAACATTTAGACAGCAGAATAAGGAAACAGAAGTCCTGAACAACACTATAAGTCAATGAAACCTGACAGATTTATGTAGAACACTTAACCCAACCACACCAGAGTCAACATTCTTCTCAAGTGTACCTGGAACATTCTTCAGGATAGACATATGTAAGACCACAAAACAAGTTCCAATAGCTTCTTCCCCACCTCTGGCTGCCGGCAGGACCTTTCTCTTACTGCTGCTGGGACCCTGTGTCATCACCCAGGCCGAGCACGATGCCCCCTAAAAAGGGAGGTGATGGAATTAAACCACCCCCAATCATTGGAAGATTTGGAACCTCACTGAAAATTGGTATTGTTGGATTGCCAAATGTTGGGAAATCTACTTTCTTCAGTGTATTAACCAGTAGTCAGGCTTCAGCAGAAAACTTCCCATTCTGCACTATTGATTCTAATGAGAGCAGAGTACCTGTGCCAGATGAAAGGTTTGACTTTCTTTGCCAATACCACAAACCAGTGAGCAAAATTTCTGCCTTTCTAAATGTAGTGGTTATTGCTGGCCTTGTGAAAGGAGCTCACAATGGGCAGGGCCTGGAGAATGCTTTTTTATCTCATATTCGTGCCTGTGATGGCATCTTTCATCTAACACATGCTTTTGAAGATGATGATATCACGCATGTTGAAGGAAGTGTAGATCCTATTCGAAATATAGAAATAATACATGAAGAGCTTCAGCTTGAAGATGAGGAAATCAAGCTTGAAGATGAGGAAATCAGCTTGAAGATGAGGAAGTCAAGGCTGCTGGAAAGTACAGACAACAGGGCAGAAATTATATTGTTGAAGATGGAGATACGGTCTTCTTCAAATTTAACACACCTCAACAACCGAAGAAGAAATAAAATTTAGTTGTTGCTCAGATAAACATACAACTTCCAAAAGGCATCTGATTTTTTTTAAATTAAAATTTCTGAAAACCGATGGAACAATTAAAGGTGGGAAGATGGGAATCTTCAACAAATTATTTTTATTTGTTTTAAAATTAAAATACTGTGTACCTCTCCACCAATGAAATGCAAATTCACTAAATGTGAACAGCTTTGCTTTTCACATGATTAAGACCCTACTCCAAATTGTAGAAGCTTTTCAGGAACCATATTACTGTCATGATACTTCATTAATCTCCATCGTGTATGCCAACCCTGACACATTTGACAGTGAAGACAATGCGGCTTACTCCTTTTTGAATCTATGGATAATGCATGTTTCACAGTACTCCAGATGTCTACACTCAGTAAAACATTTGAAAAAAAAAAGTTCCAATAAATGTCAAAAGATTGAAATAATACAAAGTGTCTTCTTTGATAACAATGGAATGAAGCTAGAAATCAACAATAGAAGGAAACCTGGAAAATTCACAATCATGTAAAAACACTTTTTTTTTTTTGAGACGGAGTCTCGCTCTGTTGCCTAGCCTGGAGTGCAGTAGCGCAATCATAGCTCACTGCAGGCTCAATCTCCTGGCTTAGCCTCTTGGATTATAGGGATTATAGGGCATGCCACCATGCCTTGCTGATTTTTAAATTTTTTTGTAGAGTTGGGTCTCACTATGTTGCCCAGGCTAGCCTTGAACTCCTGGCCTTAAGTGATCCTCCTGCCTTGGCTTCCCAAAGTGCTTGAGTTACAGGCATAAGCCACTGTGCCTGACCCCAAATTAACCACATTATTAATAGGTGAAAGAAATAATGGCTATTTTAAAATACTTTGAGATGAATAGAAATGAAAATATATCATATGGGATGCAATGAAAGCAGTACTTAGAGGGAACTTTATAAATGTAAGTGCTTACATTACAAAAGAAGAAAGGCCAGGCACAGTGGCTCACACCTATAATCCCAGCACTTTTGGAGACCAAGGCAGAAGGATCACTTGAGCCCAGGAGTTTGAGACCAGCCCGGGCAACATAGGGAGACCCTGTCTCTACAAAAAATCGTTTTAAAAATTAGCTGGGTGTGGTGGCATGTACCTGTAGTCCCAGCTACTTGGGAAGCTGAGGTGGGAGGATTGCTTGAGCGAGGGAGGTTGAGGCTACATTGAGCTGTGATCATGCCACTGCACTCCAGTCTGACTGATAGACCCTGTTTCCAAAAAAAAACCAACCAGTCAGTAACTTTGCACCTCAAGGAACTAGAAATATATTAGATAATTTAGCTATTTAATCTAACATAGTGCTTACTGGAACTTGCAACACAGTAGGCACTTACTAAATATTAGTCTCATATATCCAACACAAAGATTCATCATTGACACTACTTTGAAAATAAATGTAGGGTACTATTTATGCCACTATTTCCACTTCGGCAGTTTGTTTTGATGGATTGTTTTTTTAATCCAGGTTTTAAAAATTGAGATATTCATCATATGCTATAAGTTTTCCTCACTTAAAAAGTACAATTCAGTGGGATTTAGTATATTCACCAAGTTATGTGACTATTACAACTGTCTAATTCAAGAATTTTTTTCATACCTTCAAAAGAAACCTCATATACATTAGCAGTCACTTTCCAGCTCTAGGCAACTACTAGTCTTTTTTCTGTCTCCATGGATTTGCCTTTTCTGGACATTTAATGTAAATGGAAACATACAATATGTACCCTTTTCTGTCTGCTTTCAGTAGCATGTTTTCAAGACTCATTCCTGTTGTAACACATATCATTACTTAATTCCTTTTTATTGCTGACTAGTATTCCATGTTTTGGAATACCACATTTTGTTTATCCCTTCATCAGCTGATAGACATTTTTAAATCGTTTTCACTATTTAGCTATTAAAAATAGTGCTGCTGTGAACATTCATGGACAAGTTTTTGTATGGACATACATTTTCATTTCTCTTTAGTATTGACTTACAAGTGGAGTTGCCGGGTCATATGGTAACTCTTTAACCTTTGAGGAACTGCCAGATTGTTTTCCAAAGTGGCTATACCATTTTACATTCCCACCAGCAGTGTATGAGATTTCCAGTTTCTCCATGTGTTCACCATTACTTATTACTATCTTTTTCATTTTAGCCATCCTATGGGTATGATGTATCTCACTGTGTTTTGACTTACCCTTGACTTACCCTTACATTGAACATCTTTTCATGTATGTATTGGCCATTTGCATATCTTCTTTGCAGAAATATCTATTCAAATCTTTTGCCCATTTTAAAATTGGGTTGTCTTTTGTTACTGAGTTTCAGAAGTTCTTTATGTAGTTTGCATACAAGTGCCTGGTCAGATCTGTGATTTGCAGATATTTGCTCCAATCTTGTGGGGTTTTTTCCTACACTTTCTTGATGGTGCCCTTTGAAGTACAAAGGTCTGTTGTTTGTTTGTTTGTGTTTCTGAGACAGGGTCTTGCTCTGTCACCCAGGCTGGAGTGCAGTGGCGCAATCTTGGCCCACTGCAGCCTCCGCCTCCCAGGTTCAAGCTATTCTCCCACTTCAGCCTCCTGAGTAACTGGGACTACAGGCACGCGCCACCATGCCCTGCTAATTTTTGTACTTTTAGTAGAGATGGGGTTTCACCATGTTGGCCAGGCTGGTCTCGAACTCCCAACCTCAAGCTATCTGCCTGCCTTGGCCTCCCCAAGTGTTGGGATTACAAGCGTGACCTGCTGCACCCAGCCAGGTCTTTTATTTTGTTGAAGTCCAGTTTATCAATTTTTTTTGGATGTTTATGCTTTCAGTGTCATGTCTAAGAAACCATTGCATAATCCAAGACCACCAAGATTTATGCTTATGTTTTCTTCTAAGGGTTATAATTTTAGCTCTTGTATTTATTTAAGTCTCTGAGCCATTTTGAATTAATTTTTTTAGATGAAGTGAGATGGAGGTCCAAATTCATTGTTATGCTTGTATATATCCGGTTGTACTGGTACCATTTCTTGAAAAGACTATTCTTTCTCAATTTAAATCAGTGCTCATAAATTTAAGAGTTTATTTCTTGATTCTCTTTATTTTAGCCAATTTTATAATTTTATTTTAGATTCTCTGTTCTGTTCCATTGATCTGTATGTCTACCCTTATGCCAGTGAACACATTGTTTTAATTGCTGTAGCTTTGTAGTAAATTTCAAAATCTGGAAGTTTGCATCCTTCAACTTTTGTTTTTCTTTTTCAAGATTATTTTAGTTATTCTGGGTCCCTTGCATTTCATATGAATTTTTTGATCAGCCTTTCAATTTCTGTAAAAAAGTCAGTTGTAATTTTGAGAAAGATTGCATTAAATCTATGGATTAGTTTCAGAAGCATTGCTAAAATAACACTAATAAGTCTTTCAGTTCATGAACATGAATGTCTTTTGATTTATTTAAGCCTTCTTTAATTTTTCTCAACAATGTGTGAGTTTTCAATATGGAAGCCTTATTCTTCGTTTGTTAAGTTTATTCGTAAGTATTTTGTTCATTTTGATGCTGTTGTAAATAGGATTATTTTCTGAAATTTATTTTCAGGATGTTCATTGCTACTATGTGGAAATACAGTTTATATGTATATAACTATATTGTATATATGTTGTATCCTGCAGACTTGCTGAACTCCTTGATTAGTTCTAATTGATTTTTGTGCATTTTTAGAATTTTCTATGTGCAAGATCATGTCATCTGCAAATAGAGGTTGTTTTACTTCTTCCTTTCCAGTCTGGACATCTTTTTTATCTTTTGTCTAATTGCTTTGGCTGGAACCTCCAATACAGTGTAGTATCTAATGGCCATGTATTGCCATTTTTATGAAACAGTGATAGGGCATAAAATGTTTTATATTACTCAATATTAGAATATGGTGGCTGCATCAAATTAGTAACACCCTATTTGTAGGACAACAGTTGGGGCTGTTCTGATCTACTAGTATAAAAACAAATAACTTTTTTCCACATCGATTGAAGAACGTTTTCACAATTTCCTTTTTTTTCTTTCCAGGTTTTCTCAAACAATGATGAAGGCCTTATTAACAAAAAGTTACCCAAAGAACTTCTGTTAAGGTAAGTATAGATAAATTCTGGATGAAGAGTTTAGATCTGATTTAGTCATCAAGTTCCAAGCCTATCTTCTTTCTCACTGTGAGTCCATAGCATAGAAAAACAGACAGAATTAGCCTAACTGACTTTTTGTTTTTGTTTTATAGAATGCTGTTCAGCTTGTTGTTAAATTTTACTTGGTCTAATCCAGAATGTACTAAGTATGTACATAGCATTGGTCTGGATTCTTTTTGTAATGTGGTAAGTATTGTAATAATCTTCAGTAGGTGCCATTGTTTTGGTTTCAGTAGATAATCGTGATGAAGTCAGTAATATGAGGAGAGATTATTGCAAGGTTGTGAGCTCCTGAAGTCATAAAGTTTTTGATGTTTTCAGACAAATGAGTTTTAAATACAAAAAATAAGCACAGTTATGATATGTTCTTAGTGATCACTTAAAATGCTGTCAACCCCAAGTATTGATATGTTTTTATTCATATGAGAAGTATAAGTGACAGTAGTATAAAATAGGCTTTTTGTCTTTTATTTCTGGCATCACTAAATATACAGTAAATGTTATTCTGGTGGTTGTTTTTACCACGTAAAGCTATCAACCAACATTTGTTGGCCTGGAGGTACTTCAGTTTTCTTTAGTATTATGCAATCATCAAAAGAAATCTTATTTTAAGGCCAGGAGTGGTAGCTCATGTCTGTAATCCCAGCACTTTAGGAGGCTGAGGTAGGCAGATCACTTGAGGCCAGGAATTCAAGACCAGCCTGGCCAATGTGGCGAAACCCTGTCTCTACTAAACATACAAAACAATTAGCCAGGCGTGGTGGTGCACGCCTGTAATCCCAGCTACTGGGGAGGCTGAGGCACAAGAATTGGGAGGCTGAGGCAGGAGAATCGTTTGAAGCTAGGAGGTGGAGGTTGCAGTGAGCCTAGACTGTGCCACTGCACTCCAGCCTGAGTGACAGAGTGAGACTGTGTCTCAAAACAAACAAACAAAAACAAAAAAACACAACAAAAACAAAAAAACTCATTTTCGTTTTAGATGTTGTTATATTTTAATTCTTTACGAGGAATTAATAGGTGTATACACGGTAATCCTTGAGAGTCATTTCCCTAACTCTGTTTCTCTTATCACTGATACTCCACAAAACAACAGCATCAGAAACCAGGTTTTGTGATCAAATAACTGTAGGAAACAAACTGTAGTCCTATAGGGTTAACAAAACCTATAGGACTTCACAGGGCCTTAATAGGCTAACGTGCATGGCGATGATACAAGTTGGGTAATTGTGCCATTTCAAACTTACTGACAATGGAATCCTTTTAATATTCCACAGAAAATTTGGGGGAAATGCTGACATACAATAAGAGATTGACCAGATGACTCCATTCCATGGCTGTACTAAATCTCACTTTAACATTTGGGGAATGAATATGAGTTTTGTTTAAATATTGGGAATAATTATTTTCATCTCTTCCCAAGTTCACCACAGAACCACTTTTAGATGCCACAGATTACTCACCTTTACTGTCATCAGGTTATTAGACATTTTTCCTTGAGTTAGAAATGGGGTAAGAACTTGGCTTCTTTGTGGTAGTGATCACATTTCAGGGACTTCAAAGGGTGTTTCATTAGTCATCAGGTGTTGTTTGACACTGTTGTCATGAGCCCCTTCTCAGTTGATAGAAAAACTGAGACAGGATTGTATGAAAAATATCAATTGTATTTTATTCCAATAAAACAAATATTTGGATAAGAGAGAATGTTCTTTGGCATTTTTGGCAATTTTAAGAAAGTGGTGACAAGAAAGAAATGTATGTTTCCCATATAAACCCAAAAGGCTTTGCTCAAGCACCTAGTTGTTAGAAGCAATACAACTGTGTCAGGGTGGGCAGGCTGTCACTATACAACTGCACAGATGCCATCCACATAGACTGCAGTGTAGATGATGCCCCCCTAGGATTATGTAGTGCTTCCAGTCTGGGTCTGAACATTTCTCTAGAACGGGCATCAAGCTGTAATCTCAATATGGTGTTCTTACCCTGGGGAATCCTAAGCAGCTTCAGGCAGGCCTCTGTTGGCCACTAAACACTAGGGTGTGATTAAACTCCACCCTTCTCATGCATACTTCTGCTATGACTCAAGGCTACTCACTGAATGGTTTTTTTCCTTCTGGTAGGGTTGGCTTTTGTACTCTACTCAGCCATGGAACAGTTTCTGTCTGTTGATACCAAAAAAATAAAAAGGAATTATATCACTTTCTATGTAGTGTGATTTCTAAACTGCAGTCTTGGAAACTTCAGTTCTTTTAAAGATCCGTGATGGACTCAGCTGTTAGGAATTCTGGAGGTTGTCATCACTACTTACAGCTTTTGAATCATGCCATAAAGCTCATACATAGATCACTTTTCAGAAAGAATTGCCACTTGAGAGCAAATGTTAATGTCTCTTCATAGACTTACATTCCCACTTATATTCTTATTTCAGAGTCTGTAAGGGGAATTTAAAATATTGCCACTACAGATCTTCTCCAACTCATGAGTCTCAAAATTAACTCTAGCAACCATGTATTTTAAGAGTTTTTTGCTGGCCTTTAAATCATTTCTATCATTTTACTTTCAGACTTTCCATTCTCTGTGTGGCTTTCCCTTTTCCTAGCTACCCTTTCTAAGAAAAATTTTGAAGAAGGGTTTGAACCAGATTACCTGAGCCTCCGTCTGCATCATTAGTTAATTCCACAACATTGGGTATAACAAAGCCCCCACCTCATGAAGCTTAAGTCTTTATTATTTTCTGCTCAGTTAAATTATGTCTTCGTTGTCTACCCTTGGCTTATGTGTTTATTTCATATTGTAGATTTCTTTGTGACAGTGTAGTCTGTTGTTCCTAATCTTGTTGAATTCCTATTCACCTTCAGTCTTACTTCCTCAATACATGTGAATTCTTGGACTTTGTGACAGACTTAATTGCTTTCAGTCCAGATCATTTTCTCTTCTGCCACTTTTGACTGCTTCTGTTACCGCCATCTTTAATTCTCAACTAGCTTCCAATACTGATCCCATCAACCGAAGCTTCACCTTCCCCTTTGGAACCATTAACAAGCATAATCTGGAATAATATGCTGCTTTTCATCTCTCTGTTATCACTTTGAATCCACTCAGAAAAATCTGTGTTTTCTTTTCATCTGATTTCATTGATAGTTTTAAGAATATATATTATTCACAGATTCCTTCTCTACTACCCGTTTTTAGTTTGTTACTGAACAAGTTTTTACAATTTTGCTTTTTTAAATCCAGCTCTTGCTCATGAATTAAGGCTACTGAAGTTTTTTCTCTACCTTTGCTCTCACATAGCCCAACAAACAGCTTTTAATATTATCCTTCCTGGGGAGTCAGTTATATAATTTTTATAACAATGGAAGTACTTAATCTGTTGCAACCATTATCTATTAGTGAGTTGGATTATCCTTGCATATATTTTTCCACATTGTTATTGTCCATATTACTGTTGGAATCAGACTTTCTGGGTTCACACTTCAACTCTTCTCATTTATTAGTTGTGTGACCTTACTTACTTAACTCTCTGGGCCTTAATTTGCCCATCTGTAAACTGGGAATAGTAATAGTTCTTACCTTATGGGGTTGTTGTTCTTAGAGTACCTGGCATGTAAGTATTAAATAAATGTTAGCTCTTATTGTTATTAATGTCAATTTTTAGATGCCTGAATATTTAATAAATGCTATTTGACAATGCAGTCAGCTTTAATACAAACAACTGATGAATCCAGCTCTTAATATGGATCTAAATATATGCTACTGCTAAAAATATCTCAGTAAAGTACCTGGTTATTAAGTAACTCTGTGAAGGCCCAATGCTTCCGTTCATTAAACTGGACTAATTCAATCTCAATAGCAATTGCATACTACTATCTTATATTAAACTGACAATTACTATTGCTTAAGCAGATGTGTGGTGTTGTGACATCTGATTTACAACTGCAGTTACCTTGCATTATAACAAAAGATAGTCTCTTGGAGGGAACTATTCCCTTTTTGAGAAAAAAAAAAGTCTTCTGTGAATTGAATACTGACCTAAAACTCAGATTATAAATTTTAATAGTGATTTGACTTTAAACTTTAATTTCTATTAGGTTGCTTTCAGATGTTAGTGATGAAGTAAAAGCACATGTAAACCCCCTCATAGGAGACAGCAAGTGATACCTGCAGCAAACAGCTTAAAACATCCTGAGGAGTCAAAGCTCTAGTTAGTCATAAATAATAATGAAAGAAAATTACTAGACACATTAAAAAAATTAAATTACCATTATTGATGTAATTTCTTTCCTTTTTAAATTTGTGTAGATACATGATAAAATTTATTGGCTTGATAAAGGAAGATTTCATTGCCCCAAATGAGGGATTTGAGCCTAATAATTCTGGGCGATATGAAATCAAAGACACAATTTCATATAATATGACAGTTTTAGTAGTTGAATTTGCTTGGGAGAATTATAAAATGACTAGCACATTTTCAAATTTTCCTTTTCTCAAATTTGTAAGCCAGTGCCATGAGTGAAGATCATTGTGGTTTTTGTTGGAATCATTAAGATGTAGCCCAGTGCTTCTCATAGGTCCTTGGCAAGCAGTGCAGTAAAGGGCTCATTCCTGCTATGGGTGTCATTGAGTAGGTGCTGTTGCCTGCTGGTTGGTTTCAGCACTCCATGGACTTTTTAAAGGACTGCTGCCTCTATTTCCTGCTGTCTGTGATGCCTGCTGCCTTATATATATTCCAGGGCATCCTAACAGGTAAGATGCTCTTTTGGGGGTACATGCTGCAGTTTCAAATTTAAGCACCTATGCAGATTTTTCCTCTTTGCCAAAGAGTTGTTTTAGGTTGGTTTGCTTGCTCTCTGGTTGTTTTTTGACTTGTGTGTGGCAATGTGGGACTGAATAAATGTGTATGTTGAAATCAGATGCAGCAGCTTAAAAGCCCTCATGTTCATTATCTCCCT